TCCTCCTCGTCCATCCGCATCTCTTCCGCCGCCTCTTCCTCCGTTTGTTTCCTAAACAAGTTGTTGTTGTTGTTGTTGGTGGTGGCGCATGTGGCGGATGGTGTTGCTGTTGCCCTCAGACGGACTCACAGATGCATACATACCCCCCTCCCAAAAGGACCCTACCTAGCGCGCGTGTAGAGACAAACAAACTACGAACACTTCTCTCCGCTGTACGGGTACACATCATCTACACGGCACCCGGGAAAAGTCGTCGCCGACACCACCGACAAACTCACGGACAACAACCCAGTGCATAAGACTCAAAACGAGCCCAGTATCCAGCGCGTTTTCTCCCACTTACAAAAGAGACTTCAAAATACATCCTCTCCGACTGTGAATATACCTCGAACGGGTAGAGTATGTTTTCTTAGAAAAAAGAACAAAAACAAAACACGAAACGAAACCCAACTCGCCGCACACCTGACAGCTTCTTCCTGAGCCTTCTTCTTCTTGAGTAGCACCCGATGGGTCACGCGGAGGTTGGCCAGCCGCTTGACGTCGTTCTCGCTGAGCTTGCCCGCGGCGTCTAGCACCTCCATTCTTTGCACCTGTTTTTTTCGGGGTCCGTGTCTTAGAAAATGCGCTATGCATACACACACGTATGCAGGAAGAAGACTCGGCTCGTCCTCTATTTCTTTGAGACTTGCGCTGGTATACCATCGTCCTTTGCACCTGGTTTTCCGGGGTCCTCGTTCTAGAGCGAAGAAAACGATACCACACGCGAAGGGGGTGGGTGGCTCTCCTCTACTTGGCTGATTGAAAGGGGTGTGCTTGTAAGTGTTTCTTGACTCAAAAAGGGCTGGGACAAAGCTTAGCCATGATGAGGTCGGACCCGGGAGGCCACTGCTGTCATGCGAGAGAAAGGGATAGAAACCAAGTCCCGAGAAACAGGAGAAAGCAAGTCTCGGGGCTCTGCTTCTTGCTCCCAAGGCTAAACACAACGCGGCATTCACTCGCTACGTGTTGTACGCATCTCATGAACAGACACATAGCCATCGTGGTGCCCGGCAATAGAAGCCCAGGGATGAATCTCTCCGACAAATACATAGCAGACGTGGAGCTTGGGAATATACAGCCCGGTGACGAATCTCTCCTTATATGTCTCCCCCCTCCTACCCATCCCTCTCACCTCCTCAACCATGAGATCCGGGTTCCGAACCATCGCCGAGAACTCCCGGACCTTCTTCCTCTCCTTCTTGTTCTTCTGAACCTCCTTCTTGCGCTGCAGCTTCCGGTAGGCATCCGTCGGGTTCATCTCCCGACGCCCGCTCCGGGTCGTCGTGCGCGCCATCTTGGTGTTGCTGTTGTAGCCCTCGTCCTTATCGTCCTTGTTGTTGTTGTTGTTGTTGTTGTTGGTGGTGGTGGTGTCGCTGCTGCTGCTGCTGTGCAGCGCTCTCCGGGATCACTGCCTGCCCGAACAAGGTACGCACGCGCGTGCCCCCGGCGACGGGGTGCGTGTAAGTGCGATCGTGCGTGTCCCTTCAAAACTTCAGCTTCAAGCGGGGATCCATTCCCCAAAAACAAGCAACGAGCTTCTCGTGTGTGTGACGTCGCTCGCAGGGTCAATACAACTACGCCATGGCAGTGTCTCCGCTGAACGCCTCTTCTGACACGGGCTTCCGCAGAACATGCGAACAAGAGCGTCAATACGATCGCAAATAGATACGAGCGACACGATATTATGTGGAAAACCCACACAATTAGCCGGGATTCGAACTCGCAACGAAGCCTAAGAAGGGCACACGATCATTTACAATACTTTCCATCACGGGGGTGACGGCGAGATGAGGGGTGACGGCTAGATGAGGGGTTGCTGTTTTTTTTAAGGTATACAGTAATCGTCTTGGTGTCGTCCCAAGTAGAACGTCAAGTAATGTCCGCCGTCTTCACAAAGAGGGAAAAGGAAATAGTTGCGTCAAGCCTCCCGACGGTCATGCAAGACGACATGCCCGAACATCATCCTGTCGGTTCATGGCGCCCAGTCAATATACCTCTCGGTGACATCTGTCATACCAGCCGTGCTGGGGGACGGGTAACGACTTTTGCGGCAGGCAGCCGTTCACAAAGCTCTACCGCCAACACTGCTGTCGCTGCAGCCGTAGACTACACCGGGGTTGGGGGGGGAAACGCAACCTTGCACACGCTTCGACGGATGGATTGGATCATCCTCAACGAGGAAGCCGGCATCATTACATCCATTCGCCGTCGAGTGCGCCGCGTGTTAACATGACCATGACCACCGCAGCCACGGACGCACCGCAGACCCTCCGAGCGTTCCCAGTCCCTCCCTCCCTCCGTCCCGACTTTCAACCATCTGAGGCCGAGAACATGTCCTCGACGGCCACCACTGCCGTAGCACCCACAGCCCCCACAACTCCTCTACAGCCGCCGCAGCCCACGACAATTTGGATGTCCGTCTACCGTTGGCCGAGACCACTCACCACAACCCGCGTGGCAACAAGAATCGCAACGCAAAGAACGCGTTTCCACCGCGTCCAAACCCGCAGGGTCGTCGCGCGGGGGTGTCGTCCTTCATTGCCACCACAACAAGAGTGAGGGTATCTTTCGCGCCCCACAACATAGTGCGCGGATGAAACGACTGCTGTGCGCCGCATCCAGACAAAAAAAACCCCGTAATAATACCACACCCGATGGCAAAACCTTTGTTACCGGTCAACATGAGTGACGACACAAAACAAAAACCGCGTGTTTGTGTCGAACACGCTACCCGACACACGGTGCGCTGTATTTAATACTATTATAGCTCTTTTTGGATTTGCTTGGAAAAATACCTTTGACGAAAACTCCGGAACAAGCACCTTTGCTTGATTTTACTGCGATGTTCTCGTGCGTCACAAGCATGTTTCTCGCCAAGGAACACTTCTGCCCGACGGGGTCCGCATTCGATGTCGGCAAGAGCGCCTCAGAGAGAGGCAAAGCTGTAGATCATGGGTTCATTGAGCGAAGCTCCCTGATGGTACACGCAGGTTAGACACAAATAAAGAGGCACCGGGTGTTCAATCAAGCATCCGATAATCCTCACAAAATTAGGGCACTGCTGCCGGGTGCGTTAGCAAAAGACTCTACACACGCGCGATCGTCAATTGCTCTTTTTCCCTGCTCACCTCCTGCGAGGCACTGCTGCTGCTGTCAAACCCTGCGAGAGTCCACGCAAACAGGAAGGACCCTTCGCGTGGGTCGGTTTCCGAGTAGCCGATATCGGAGACGAGATGCTTCTACCACAGGTGCAGCTAGGCTCCAATCATCCCCAGGGAGCCGCGTATCCTTGCCGGGCCACCCGAACAAGAGGCACAATCTGTCTCTCTAGATCTCTCTGCTCTGGTCTTGCGAACTCGCGCCCTCGATCGAGCATACCGCCGGGGAGCCCGTGGATGCAAAATATCGAAATATTTGGGTACACTACAATATCGTACGCGGGTCCCCGGACTTTCTCCGCGGTGCATCTGGAATCGCGCAGACAGAGCTTCAGACAGAGCTTCTTCGGTACTGCTTTATCCTCCGTGCGTGTGGGCAGGAAGAGAGAGAAAGAGGTGCAACCAGGTGCGAATACACCGTATGGTGGGAAAAAATAGGACTAGTTGCACTGGTGTGGGGATGCAGTTCGCCCGGTGTATTTTGCAAAGGTCCACTTCCGTTTTTTGATTGGAACACGCAAGTCTCTGTTTTGTGTGCGTGGCGTGCGCGTACGGGCGGCGGCCAGCGGCTGTTGCGACGAGAGGAGACAGAACAAACGACCCCTCACACCCTACCTTCTTTTGCAAACACCGTCGGGAGAAAAAGGCGAGCCGTCCGAACACATCGGTGAAAGTTGGCAGCAACGACATGGTTGGCATTTTCGCACAAGGCAATAACCTTCCTCGACCGCAAAATTATGTTCAAGCAATGTTTGATATTTACTGCTGATTTAGTACCATGTCTGCTGTGCGAGGTGCGAATGAGCTGTGTGCGGGGAATTATCCTTGATCCCCTTGTTGTGGAAACGATGTAGCAGCAGCAACAGCAGCTTTGCACTCAAGTCGCAATGCTTCGTTTTCCGTGGCAAGTAGGAGTGTGTTCTCCCCCATCCCCCATCCCCACCGCCTTTGCCGTCACGGGTAACAGCTGCGGCGGTGGAACTTCTTTCTCAACACTGCTGCCGTAAGCAGTGAAGTAGGTCGCTTCAGACGCCATATGTACTATAACCCCCGGCCCGATTTTTAACCCTGCATCACAAATAGTGGCGGTGTTTGGGGATGGCGGTGTTGGAAGCGTTTCGTCGAGAGCTTTCCGAAAACACAACATTTGATTTTGGCATCCGCTTGGTCGTGGAGCAAAATATGCTGCTGTAATATTTAGTCGAGCTTTGCCGAATCGCTCCAAAGGGGGTGTGGTGTCTTCGGCAATCTACCACGGACGGCCCGCCTCTCGCGCTCTCTTTTCTCACGTCAACCGCTCGGTTTTGCGCTGGCGCTCAAAAAACAATCGCGCTCGTTCGTTGCACTCATTTAGTCGGGTCGAGGGTGGTCAGCAAGCCCGGAGTCTGGGAGAGCCGGAAGAACCCAAAAGGCGGCAGCAGCAGCATCACCGACGCCGCAGGGCGGTTGTATCAGCTTGCTTACTAAGGCCGGGTGTTCCAGCCGCAGCAAGAGTTGGAGGGAAGGAAGCAGGTGGAAAGCCAGCGTCAGCCGGGCAGATCGCAACACAAGACGCCCAAAAGCCCAAAAGAGGGGGAGAGAAAACTGTTTTGGAGGGCGCAGGCAACCCCACCCCTTTCTCGAGGGAGAACCTACATATCTCTCTGCCTGCCGTTTCGTTTCGATAGCCGACAGAGATGGAGGTTTGGGACGTGCTGGGAGCGGAGGAGCGGGATGCGGTGCGGTTCTCGTGGAACGTCTGGCCCAGCTCCCGCCTGGAGGCCACGCGGATAGTGGTGCCCGTCGGGTGCCTGTACACCCCCATGAAGAGCAGGCACGACGCGCCCCCGCCGCTGGCGTACGACCCCATCCGCTGCAACGGCTGCGGGGCGATCCTCAACCCTTACGCCCAGGTGCGAGCCGAGTTGATGTTTCTGTAGCGGCATTTTCACGTCGAGACAAGAGCATTCCGGCCTCCTTGCAGAAGGGGTTCATTTAGTATACGGAGTAGGTACGTGTTTTCTCGAGTTAGGATAAGTGGATTACATCGTGCGTGTGTGCAGGCTATTGGCTAAACGAAGGTACAGCACTTTGGTCCACAGAAAAACGTTGTTGTGGTGTTGTTTGTTGGTTTTTATGGTGGTTTCTTTCTCTCTCTCTCTCTCTCTCTCTCTCTCTCTCTCTCTCTCTCTCTCTCTTTCTCTCTCGATCGACCAGCCTTTTAGGCTACGTAGACACTGAACAGTGTAGTACTCTACATACACTGGAAAGTGTGATACACGTCTCACCACGAAAAATGGGGGGACTGTCGCCATCATATAGGACGATAATACACAACAAACACATGCCACCACATTGAATAGCTGATGTGCACGCCGAACCTTCGGGCCCGTGGTTGGTATGGGTGTCGTTTATTTCACCCAAGGTTACCGTATATGACACAAGATAACACACCCCCTTGACCGTTTTTCAAAGCTCGATTTCTCAACAGCAGGAAGACTCACAGCGCCGAAAACGGCGGCGTTGGAACCGTCTCGTTGAGATCTTTTCGAAAATGTATCATTTTGTTTATGTATCCTCTTCGTCATCGAGCAATCAAGCTTTGAAAATCGGGCCAGGGGGTGTGTTATCTTGTGTCATATACGGTAGTCGTGTCGTGTTTGTGTGCAACGCACGTTATTTTCAAAGGGAGTTGTGCAGCAGGGTAAACTAGCAGCCTAGCCATGGGGTAATGATACTTTTGGTGTGTCAAACCAGCTTTGGTCGTGGACTGATGGATCCCCCTCGAAGTAATTGATCCATGGCGGAGCTTCGGCCCTTACACGACAATGGCCATAGCAGCAGTCTTGACCCTACCGGTGGGTGCCACCCCTTGACCGCCACGACTACTTTGTCATTCCCGATTTCTCCTGTAGTCTACGCAGCAAAATTGATTAAGCAAACATATTGGATAAAGTATTCAATCCGTGCTTTGGGGTTAGGGTCAGGGTTAGGGTCTGCGTGCCCCCTCCCCATTATTTTTCTAGATAACTCTTAAATTCCTGCGTAGGCGGTCCGATTTCTCCGGGACAGAAGGATGGGGGCGGTGAGAACCCCCGACTGCGGTACCCCCTTGTTGAGGAAGCTCTCGGGCAACCAAGAACGATCATTGCGGTCGTTGTAACCCCCCGCGTTATTTTCGGGGGACAGACGCATTGTGCAATGTCCTCGTAAAGAATCGCTCCGGCGAAGAACGGCTACGTACAGTAGCTCGGCGAACGAATGACGTCGCGGCAGCGAGACGACTGTTGGCTGTGCACAGTTGTGGCAGCGCGCGGCGCTAGGCACAGTTTTTTTTTTTTGGCCCATTCCGTCCGTATGTTGATTCTTTTTATCCCCTCAGGGGTTCGGAATGCGTAGCATGGTGGTTCCCGGTGCCCATGCACTACAGCTTGTGCACGAGGCTGGTTATCAACAACCGTCAACCAATGACGCTGCTCCACACCCCTCCTTCTCTCGTCGTGACAAATCATCGACAGGTTGACTTCATGAGCAAGCTGTGGACCTGCCCGTTCTGCATGCAGCGGAACCACTTCCCCCCCCACTACGCGGAGAACATCAGCGAGAGCAACCTGCCGTACGAGCTGATCCCGCAGTTCACTACGGTGGAGTACGAGCTCACCACCCCGCCGCACGGGCCCCCCGCGTTCGTGTTCTGCATCGACACCTGCGTCTCGGAGGACGAGCTCGATGAGCTGAAGGACTCGCTCCAGCAGGCGCGTGGTTGGTGTTGTTGCTGTTGTTGTTGTTGTTGTTGTCGATGATGGCCTCCTCGGTGTTGGTGTTGATGTTGGTGATAGTGTGGATGATGATGACCTCGGTTGTTGAGAAAGATGGTGACGATGAGGCTGTGGTCAACGTTGCTGCTGTTGTTGGGCCTGTTGGTGATGTCGAATGCCGGTGTTGATGGCGATGATGATGCCGCTGTTGGAAGCGACGGATCAGGATGATAAAAAGTCTCCCATCGCCAAGGGGATCGAAGCCGGGAACGGGCAAGTTCTGGAGCGGCTGTTGAAAGTTAAACCCGAATCGTAGTACGTCATCAGGGTCACACACCACTGAGTGCACCCCACGCGCTCCTCGCAATCTCGTGCTAGGCACCCAACGAGGTAGTCTTGATGTCGAAAGAGGTCACTCTTCCCCCCTCTCCCCCCCCCCCCCCCCCCGCCTCCTCCGAGAAATATCGCAATGGCTCTCTCGCGTGGTATATCGCGTAGCAACTATATGTAAGGCATGCAAAACATGAGGACGCCCCGCCCGCCCCCGTTGCCCCGCCTCATTCAATACAACACCGAAATGGCTCATGTCCAACCAGTAAGGTCAGCGGAACAAGTTACCGTACCCATTACTGTGGACTCGGGTGTTGTGAAGTTCAGGGGAAATTCTTTGCTGGTTGGACGGTAGTCACCACATCAGACGATTCGGGTCTAACTTTCAACAGCCGCGTGAGGAGTTTCTACGGATTGGAGAGACTCAATCTGAAGATCGAGCTACGAAGATGAACTCTTGAAGGCATCGACCCTGCTGCACCAGCGACAACGAACTACTTGTGCACCACAACTTTTTCTGTCTAGAAGGGCCCGGGACCCCTTCTCACGACAGTTGCCGATGACGATGCTGTGGTCAACGTTGGTGCTGTTATCGGTCTGTTCATGACGATGGTGTTCAAGGTGTAGGGCTCGTGCTCGTGGTTGGCGCTGGCGATTCTGATAGTATCGGGTACCGTTGCCGTTGTGTTTGAGAACAGCAAGGCCGCACGATGTCCCCGCCCCCGCGGCGGTTTGTCCAACCCCCGCCGCCACCCAGAGCCAAACCTGTAACGCCACGCGGACGCATGCGTGATCCGTTCGAATCTCTCTCCGTCTCACGGATCATGGCCTTTGTCGACCACGACGATGATGACGACAACAGACTCTCAGCCTTCTCCCGGAGGAGGCGCTGGTGGGACTCATTACCTTCGGCACCAACGTGATGGTGCACGAGCTGGGTTTCGCGGACTGCCCGAAGAGCTACGTCTTCAGGGGCGCCAAGGAGTACACCGCGGTGAAGGTGAGAATTTGAGCGTTCGTTCGTTCGTTCGCATGCCAACCCCCCTTTTTGTCTGTCTGCCCCCCACCTCATTCGCGCTATATATACCTCACGGCGCTCCGCGATCGGTGATGTGCTAGGCCTGTCCGGTGAAAACCCCGCGTGCTCCCGCACAGCCTGCAAGGCCAATGGTCGTCCATCGAATACGGCCTGCTCGGCTATTGAGTCCACACACACCCCTTCCCCACCGGTAGTAGTCACAAGCCAGTTTTGCGAACCCCCCGAAAGAAGCTTGTCTGCTGCAGCCTTCACAATCCCCGAGAAGACCGCCTTCAGGGAGACGAAGGACGTCGCCTGGTCTGCACGGGGGTGGGGGTGGGGGGGCGGGGAGGGGGTACTCATAGTCGTGCATGCCGTAGTCGTTAGACCATTGACCTCGCATCCCTGCAAAGCCGGGACGGAGCACGCCGGGTGCTCACCGGATCAGGCTCGGGGGTGGGGGTTGGGGTGGGTATTGTTTTCGGCTGTGTATTCACGGCACCCCCGTCTCGGAAGAGGGTCTCGCGTGTGTCGTAATCGCCACACGATTGACTGCTGAGGCAACACCTAAGGCACGAGTCTCGATCCCCCCCCCCCCTCACGAATAAAACGGCTTTGTCCAGGTCCAACAGCTTCTGGGCATCCTCCCGGCCGGCCGCGGCGCCGGCGCCGGCGCTACCTACGGCCATCAGCCGCAGCAGCAGGCGGGAGTGCCCGGGGGCGCGGCGGGGGGTGCGAGAGACCCCGCGGTCGGGCGCTTCCTCATGCCCGTGGCGGACGCGTCGTTCCAGTTCGAGACGGTGCTCGACGACCTGCAGCGGGACGCCTGGCCCGTGCCGTCGGACCAGCGGGTTGCCCGCTGCACCGGGGTCGCTCTCCAGGTGTGTATGTTTTTTCTCGTACAGTCAGCGAAGGACAGGCTCTCTTTCTTGAATATTTTGTGGTATTGGAAGGGTACAGTAAGGGTGTTGGCGACCGGCCGACTCCACTTCCTATTGTTCCTGCATTATTAAGTATTCTTGATATTAATATTTTATTGTTGTGTTCGTCGTTGTTTGATGACCCGTAGAGATGTCGGCCCCCCTTCTTTTCGTTACTGTATTTTTTTTGGGTTTTTTACGCACATCTCGACGACGAGCGGCCAGTCCCGTTCGTATGCCGGATGTATACTATTAATAGGGTCGGTGATAACCTCCCCCCCCGTCCCCCGCCGGCGATTTTTTCCTTTTCAACCTCCCTCTCTCAAAACGCCCCCCCCCCCCCCCTCTCTCCTGTACTTTTTTGTTCGCGTAGGTTGCGCTTGGGCTTCTTGAGTCGGCGTGCCCCCGGCAGGGCTCTAGGGTAATGCTCTTCGTGGGAGGCCCTCCCACCGTGGGGCCGGGGATGATGGTGGGCAGGTCGAAGGACGAGACTATCCGCAGCCACACCGACCTCCAGAAGAACAACGCCCCGCACTTCAAGGTATTTGATTTAGATTGGTCGGGGGGTACTCATGTTGTGCTTGCCTCTTGCCGCTGTTGGACTATTGGCCACGCGTTGTGGAGAGGACGGAGCATTTTTTTCCTGCAGGACCGATCGCGGATGGCAAGTCGTTCGTTCCTACTTATTTATACCGTATGTTGAGTAGTTTATAGACACATGCCAAAACTTTTGTTGCGGTCTCTTAGCTGCATGTGGGCTTGCGACTTTGAACCTCTCGACCATTTTTCGCCGTTTTATCAAAATTCAACCCCAACACCTGGCAGGAACAACAATCACCACATCAACGACAACCACATCAAGAACCATGATCACACCCACCAACCGTACCTATGTCAACAACCACAACAACAGCAACAACCAGCACAACCACACCCACTGAACCATAGGACCATATCAACAACAATAACCACAACAACGACGAAACCGTCAAAACAGGTGGCGTGCAAGTTCTATGAGGGTCTCACCGAGAAGGCCATGCAGAACTGCCACGTGGTGGACATCTTCGCGTGCAGCCTGGACCAGATCGGGCTCCTGGAGATGAGGGTCTGCGTGGAGAAGACGGGGGGGCAGATGGTGCTGGGCGACTCCTTCGGACAGTCGGTGTTCAAGGAGTCCCTGGCGAGGCTGTTCCGCAAGCCCACGGGAGAGGACGGCCAGGTGTGTGTGTGTGTGTGTGTGTGTGTGACTGAAGATATCACCCCCCTCTCCCTTGTGGTTGCCCAATATATATCTAGCTTGGCACAGCAAACTCAAGGATGATGACCAGCGTCTTTTTCATCCTTGTGCTAGTAGCCTGGGCCGGCGACTGCGGCATGTGTTTACATGAAAACACCCCCTCGCGCCGCCTTGATGAGGAGCATTAAATATTCCACGCCGTAATCTTTATCTTTGTCCCGGCTGTTCGCCGGGGATGACGAGCATTTTTACGAGCTGTAGAGCCCCCCCCCCCCTCTGGATGAATTTGGGCGACGGAACGCTTTTTAGAGGAAGTGGTGCATGGCGCAACGCTTTCCTGTGACTGGGACGGTGAGAAGTGCTGCTGTTGAGAATGACCAACTGTCGGACGAGACTAGGATGTCACAGCAGAGGAGTTGTAGACTCAATTGTTCCGGCTGCAGATACCCATCTTCTAACGAACCTGTCTTGTCTTGACTTTCCCGGCCTCTCCCGCCATGGTAGATAGCGAGTATGCGAAGTGATGTCTCCCCCTCCCCCCAAGGTTTCGTTTTACGCCGACAGTGACGATATTCATGACTGTACTCGCTCCCCGCGCACTAAATAGCAGCTACCCCCTCTCCCCTGCTATCTTCAAGACTTAGACCTTTGAACATATCCCGTTCGAACCGCCGTCTCCCGTCATCCACTCGTGTGCCGCCTGCTTATTACAAGTCTGTTGTTCACGTCTTTCCCTCCCCCCCTTAATCTCCCATCCCAAACCCTTGTCGAATCTCGCCGCTCCTGTGTGCTAAACTCTCTTGCAACCGTGGCCAACGGCACAAAACAAAAACGGGCGACGACGCCGCTGCGCGGGACTACCCCCCCCCCACGCCCCCGATCAATCATTCCGTTCCTGTGCCCCCTCCGGAGCAAGGTGGCGGGGCGGCGCTGCTGCAGATGGGGTTCGGCCCCAGCCTGGAAGTGTTGACCAGCAGAGAGTTCAAAGTGGCTGGGGCTATGGGGCCCTGCAGCTCGCTCGGCAAGAAGAACCCCAACGTCGCGGAGACGGAGATTGGCCAGGTAACCGCCCCCCCCCCCGCGCGCGCCTGTCCCGTGACTTCATCCGCGTCGCCGGTTCTTGCTAGATCCTGTAGCGGAGGACTCTTGTTGTGGATTGGACGTTGGCGGCGGCGGCGGCGGTTGACGTTTGGTAGATGTCCGGTTTGCGCATTCTACTTGTTTGTTTCGTCATCGGAGCAGAAAAACTTGAGAGCGATGGATAGCGGTCGGGTCATGTCATCAGCAAGATATGCTAATCATACCTCTGCCGAAAACTAATAATTTCAGAGGGCTTGGCGTTGAATCACCGTCGTCATTTTCGAGATGTTATGTTTTTTATTTTTTATTTTCTGTTTTATTTTTTTATTATTTTTCGAATGCGTTTGGCTTCGCAGGGGGGAACCTACGCGTGGAGCCTCGGGGGCATCACGCCTGCTACCACGGTGGCGGTCTACTTCGAGGTCACCAACAACCAGTCGGAGCCTCTCCCGCAGCACAAGCGCCGATTCTTGCAGGTGGGAAGAAAGGGTGTTTGTGTGCGTGGGCTGGCTTTGATTGATTTACCGTTGTTTTTTTTTTGTCCGGGAACTATTGGCGGGGGTCCGGCAAGCGGGGGGGGGGGGGTCACGGAAATCGCTGGAAACGGGACCCCCACGTGGGAAGCGTCGGTTCTGAGAGGTAAGAGCTTGGAGGGAAAGAGACGTGTGTGTGCGTGTTGATGCCATGAGGACCCCCCTCCCCCCCCCCCTCTCCCCTGACCCTGGCGTAGGGTATCTACGATATCTCCGATGCCCGTCCTTGAACTGTAGGGGTGCAGAATCACGCCGGGCTCTTGCCGCACCGGCCGGGGGCAGCGGCAGGAGGGAGGGCCTTGCGGGATGGTGACGGGGCGTGGGCGCTCGCTCGTTGCCTGCCATGTTGTTTTTGCCATGAAATCACTCCTCTCAGCACGAAGCCCCCCTTTTCGTCCCCCCCGCTATCTTTTTTTTCTTCTGTAAATGTTTAATAGTTCGTGACGCAGTACCAGCAGGCGGGGGGTAGGTTCCGCCTGAGGGCCACCACTGTGTGCGGGGGTTGGCATAGCGACCCCAACGATCTCGGTCCGTTGGTGAGGGGCTACGACCAGCAGGCGGCGGCGGTGCTGATGGCGCGCATCGCCGTGCACCGGACTGAGACGGAAGAGGTGCGGAATTTTCGGTTGCTGTTGCTGTGCATGTTGCCGTCGCCCTTGATGCGTTGTTGTTGTTGCTGTTGCTGATGTTGGTGATATACTGTGGGTTGTTGCAGTAGTTTGCTGTTGTTATTGCTGATGTTGGTGGCATCGTCGACGTTTGTTTTCGTTGTTGTTGTTGATGTTTTGGTTGGAAATTTGGTATCGTTATCAGTTTTCTCTTATTGTTCTAGTTAAGCCGTTGCTGTTGCGGATATTGGGGGGTATCGTTGGCGTTGTTGTACGCCGCCGCCGTCCTGTTGCGGAAGAAGCACATGTACGCCTTTGACAGACAAGGAGTGTTTGCCGTCGTGCTGATGGCGGTGGCATTCTGAGACGCCTGCTCGGTGTTGTTGGTTTGGTCGTCGTTGATGGTTGTTGTCAATTGTTCATCTCGTCCATGACCGTTCTGGCCTCTGGTGCAGCGTATATTAATAGTACCGCTGCACCTGTTCTGCAACATGCCGCAGGTGCAGCGTACATTAATAGTACCGCTGCACCTGTTCTGCAACATGCCGCACAGATCCGGGATTTACTTTTTTTTTTTTTGTCCTTTTTTTTGTTCTGTGTTATTCTTCCAAAAGGTGGCCGACATCATGCGGTGGTTGGACCGCAGCCTGATCCGCCTGTGCGCCAAGTTCGCGCAGTACACCAAGGACAAGCCCGAGTCCTTCCGGCTGGCCAGCGAGTTCAGCATGTACCCGCAGTACATGTTCCATCTCAGACGCTCCCAGTTCCTGCAGGTACTGCTGCTGCTGCTGCTGCTGCTGCTGCTGCTGCTGCTGTTGTTGTTGTTTTCGTTGTTTTGGTGTTATTTTGGTGATGTTTTTGACGTCGTCGTCATCGTTGTTGTTGCTGTTGTTGTTGCCGTCCATTACGAGCGTGATCTTTGTCCCCCAACAAAAACATAGCGAATGTTTGGTTGTCTGGAAAGTATGCCCTTCAACACGCCGACGGTGAACAGCAACATGCAGCGCGCCCCCAACTCCACGCGAAATACTTGATCGCTGTTTCGTTCCAGCTGCCCCCGTGCCCAGTTTTTCAGCAGGGCTTGGACTCACGAATCCGTGAACAAACCGGTTGACTGCTGCCGCCACCGAGGCTGCTCTTCCCTAGCACATACACTTGTCTTTGTTGTTGAAATACGCTCGATAACACACACCCCACTCCCCCTTCCCGTTGTACCCCTTCGCAACTCACGGAACCCCCCTCCCAGTTGTTCAACTCGTCGCCGGACGAAGCTAGCTACTACAGGGGAATCCTCTGCCGAGAGAACGTGGCGTCGTCTCTGGTGATGCTGCAGCCCAGCCTCCTCTCCTACTCGTTCCAGGTGCCCACACATATGATTTGGCGTTTCAACCGATGTTCTGGTGTCCAGGTATCCACACATGCATGGTACATTGTTGTCAAGACGAAAGAATGGTCTTGCAATACGCATTATGTGATTTTGTCGTTTCAACCGATGTTCTAGGGTCTCGCGTCCGTCATGGGCGCGATAACGATTGATACGCCGCCAGACCGGGCAAAAGTTTTGCAGGGCGAAGTTTTGGGACTCATACCGATCCCTGCTGTATTGTACTGTTTTTTTTGTTTCGTGCCATATGGTAGCTCCGACGGGTGGGCTCTCGATCTCAAACGGTTTGTACTCCTTCATGCACATGCGGGCCATCGAAAGGGGGACCGGCAGTGAGGAACCGTGGGTGTTTCTGTCGTTGACATCGTCATCGAGTTACAGCGATGGATGACCCCTTTCCCCTCGTATTTCTGTGACCCCCTCCCCCCAAAGGGCCCGCCGGTGCCCGCGATGCTGGACGCGGCCTCGGTACGGCCGGACACGATCCTGCTGCTGGACACCTTCTTCCACGTCGTTATCTTCCACGGAGAGACCATCGGGGCGTGGAGGGAGCAAGGGTGGGTTTGTGAGGAGTCTCGCATGCTTAGGCGATAGACTTGACGTTTTGTTTGGAGGCTCGCATGGATAAACACTAGACTTGCCGTTTTTTCAAGTCTCGCATGGATAAACGAGAGACTTTGCGCGTTTTCTTGCAAGTGTAGCATGGATGAACGAAAGACTTTGGCGGTTTACTTTGGGTCTCGCATGCTCAAGCAACAGACTTGGCGTATACTTGGAGTCTCGCGTAGATAAACGAAAGACGTCGCGTTTTCTTTGGAGTCTCTCACACATCAACAATAGACGTCGCGTTTTGTTGAAGTCTCGCATGCATATACAAGAGCCTTGCCGTGTGTCTATGGTATCTGCCGCTCTGGCGCTGCGGGGAGCGTGTGAAGCTTGTTGTTGTCAAAACGGCTAAATGTAGAGAAGAGCCATATCGGAAAAAGCGTAGGAGATAGGTCAATCAGAAAACAACCGGGGTGCTGTGTGTGACAGTATTGGGGGCATTGCTGTGTCGAGGGTCGCCAGCAAACTAGCGTAGGTCCACGTCGTACAGGCATAATCCCTCTCGCATTTCTGTTGCAAGCCCCCCCGACGTGTTCACTGCCCACCACTCCGCCCCTTACGAATCGTGTCGGTGATGACTTGATGGCTGCCGTACGACGATCCCAGGTACCAAGACCACGAGGAGCACGCGGCTTTCCGGCAGCTGCTGGAGGCGCCCCAGGCGGACGCGCAGATCATCATGCAGAGCCGCTGCCCAGTGCCGAGGTGTGTGTGTGTGTTTTCTTTATTAGCATCGACCGCGCTAACCGGCTGGCCAATGAAAAGACGTCAATCTCAGTGCGGTTGAATACACAACAGTCTTCGTAAAGGTCATAATCTGGGACCTCCGTGAGGGGGTAGGCTCTGTGTGTTTGTGTGTGTGTGTTTGGACACGAACGGCGCTTTAGCCGGCTGACCATTGAAGTATGTGTGGTGTGTTGCGTGTGTCTTCCGGCCTTACCATCAACGATCAAGGGACACGTAATTTGTTTTGTTTTTTTTGTATGTGAAGCTGGCGTGTGGGTAGTTGGCAACACGGGGCGGTGTTCGCGTTTACTGTGTCATTGTTGGTTGACGTACGTGTCGGGAGGGGGAGGGGCTTATGTGTGTGGCAGGACCTCCACAAAGTTATCGCGGACGGTGTTGTTATTAACTCCCGCTTCGCCTTACCCCAGAGACAGCCGTATCTGCATCCATCGCGTGTGACTTGGTACACGTCGATTCACAAGCTCCTTTCTCCCTTTTCTGTGCATGTGATCTCTGGGTTTGTGCAAAGGCACGCCTTTGTCTGTAATCGGCAACGTCAGCGATCTCCGTGCCGTCTGTCCCCGCCTTGGCTGTATTAATCTCTTCGGTGTTGGTGTTGCCGTTCTTACGGCTCGCGTCGCGTCCGTACAAGAAACGTGTTCGTTCCCCGGCGGTCGCATGTTTGCACGGTGGCGGCGCGATCTAACACGCTCGTGTATTTTGGCATGTCTATTTTTTCTTTTTGTCGTTCGCCTTTACCAATAGCTATCTGTGTTTCACTTTTGAAAACAAAAACAAAAGATCGAAGATTCATCCTGTTTCCCTTGTCGCGGCGCATGATACGGCGCGATGCGCGGCGCACTCTCGTGCTCGCTCGCTCGCTTTCGCGGGCCCTCACACAGGTACATCGTGTGCGATCAGCACAAGTCGGAGGCTCGCTTCCTCATCTCCAAGCTCAACCCTTCGGTGACTCACAACACGACCGACGGCTCCCAAGGGCAGGCCATCTTCACGGACGACGTCAGCCTTCGCGTCTTCATGGAGCACCTCATGAAGCTGTCCACTCAGTCGTAGGTTTGAGTCTTGATGGAGCACCCCATGAAGCTATCCACCTAGTCGTAGATTTGACAAGACTCGGGCGCGCGCGCGTGCTGGGTGTGTGTGTGTGTGTGTGCAAATCTGCGGGGCTCCTTTTTGAGCACGACGGATAGTCACACTTGCTTGCGTGTGGCGGTTTCTCACGTGCGAGCATAGTCCACTTGTTTCGCGTCAGCGGCCGGCCGTCTTTCTGAGGGCGAGGTTACGCGTTCGTATTTTCTGCTCCATTGTTTGTGCGTGACAACGAAAACAGTGTCTTTCCTCTCTCTCAATCACTGTCGATCAAAGGCTGCCTTTTTTTTTCTCTCTTTTCTCGAGTGAGCACGATCGATGCGTGTCTACCATACGTCTGCTTTCTCTACTATTATTACAAGCTTTTTCCTTGGGTGTTTGTGTTGATGAGCAAGGAGATGAGAAGATGAGCTCACGCGTGTCCAACTTAATTGGCCGGGAAGTCGGGCTTTGTGTTGGATTTTTTTTTTTTTTTGTGAAACCGTCCTCTCTGCGTGCGCGGGTGCGAGGTTTTCGTTTATAATGTAAACGGGGGGAAGGAACAGCAACACCCCCTGTGGCCAGCTGTGTCCGCTACCGCTATCTTGTCTGTACAGTAGATGCTTGGGGAAGGAAGCACGGCGATCAGCTACATGGTTTTGGTATGCTTCGGTCGTGATGTGTGTCCGCGAGAATAACCGCGCAATCCCTCGCCGCTGGAGAATCCCCAACATTACGCTCGCGAAGGAGAGGATATGTGAGCGAACGATCTAGGGTGTCCGAAGAGACAAGACAGAGCCCTCAAAATCGTGTGACAGCATGATGATGAGTGTTTGCGTATGTATCACGCGTGAGATATCTTTGATTTTTTCCTCCGTCGGGGATCAACGGCCCCTTAGTCTATGTATTGCCGGGCTATTCTTTTGTCCACTGGGTTCCCCTGAAACGTGCCTCGATGTGGCATGACAATCGCGACCCCGAGCCCACCGGGGGCGCAACGTTCTTTGCCATCTCGGCATAATAAATAAATATTTGCAACCTCTTGTTGTGTTGCTGCAATTTTCATTTTTTGCGGATGGATGATGAACGTCAGAGAGGACAGTATTGATACATCAGACAAAGGAGAGTACGTACGCCTCTTACTAATAGCTCTCTTCCTTCCTCTCAAGCATCACCTTCGGTGTCACGGGTAAAATCAACGTTGGTCGGACAAAAATGTAGCTGACTCTTTCGGACGAAAGGATGGATGGCTCAATGAACACTACTTTACTTGCCCTGAATGAAAATCCTTTGCGCCGAAAAATGAACGTCCTTCGTTTTCGCTGAATAATCCGTCTTTCTTGCGATCTTTCTCCAAAAACTGGAGAAAGCTTTATCACGCGGTCGGTCGTGTCCATGCAATTTTCCTGCGTAGATGGATGGCGGCGTCAATAACAACAACAACAGCGAAAGACAAAAAAAACACGGGGGGACCGTAGCAATGAATGAACCGTTGAGAATTCGTAAACTCTCCGTGTTTCGGATCGATGATGTTATTATTGTTCAGCGGCATGATCATCATAATTGATGGGATACATGATGATGGTAATATCGGATATTCACGCATGTTTATGTATCTGTTCGCCAGGGCATCGCCCGCGGCGGATAAACGATCGGACACGCATCATTGGCGTGCTTGCTCTCTCAGGTTCTTCTCCGCCAGAAATGTAGGCTGCCCTGTAAAAATGTGGACTTATACCGTTTTCACTTACTACAACAACAGACCCGGGACGACGGTAAACTACAGGCCTGTTCGGTCGTTGATACGCAGCCAAAAATCTGCATCTTGTCGACTAACGACTACTCTTCCGTCGTGTGGGTCTACCTTGTGTGCCAGACTACGGACCACTACTACAGAGGAAGAACTCCGTTGTGAGTAGCGGTCACCGGCGATCATCGTCTACTTTTCTTACTGGTGTTCGGTAGCGTCGCTCACATGCACCATGAATGACCTCTCCCGCCCCGGGCCTTTTTTACCGCCCGCGGTATTTTTATATGTGTGTGAATTTATTATTCCATAATTTCCCGCATACCTCACCGCCGAATCTCGCCTCACCGCCGAATCCCGCCATGCCGCCGCCGCGCCCACACCTAGTCTCTTCCTCTTCCTCTTTTTTCAACATAATAATATTGGTACTACAATAAAACTACTACAGCTGTGTCAACAATGTAGTTTAATGTAATTCGCGCTCGGCCAGATGGTCCCGCCGTGTGTACACTCACTCGAACAGACAGCGAGACATCCAACTTTAGACACGCTCGCTGGAAATACAAAGGAAGTACGATGCATGTGCCCGACAAGAAGAAAGAAAAAAAGCGGTGAATTGCGCGGGACCTCCGACAACAGGGGGAGGGTCTCACATCGCGGATGACATCGCGACTCTACCGCACGCTGCTGCTTGCTGTATAGAGACTGTTGCAGACCCACCCCGTTCCGAAAGTCAGTGTAGTGCAGAAGGTCTCGCATCCCATGGATGATAAGTTTCAGAATCCCTTCTCGCGGCTGGTGCTTGTCACGGTTTGTTTTGGTGCCTCTTTGATATAAATTTCCTGGAAACTTTCCACGCGGTCGCGACACCACAATAAAATAAATCGCCGTCCTCTCCTGGATCAATTTACGGCTTGTTCCTCCGCTCTCTCACAAAACACGGGCACACAAACCGCTCTGCGTTCCCCGCGGACGCCACAGCAGCAGAGGTTGGTGGAGCGACCACACGGCCTTGGGAAGGAAGGAAGCCTTCCACACGCAACCCTCCTGCTGACATACATCAACAGAGAGAGGAGGAACTTCGACAAGAAGGAGCCTCTCCCCTCCCTCTCCGCGCACGGGCAACAGCAGCCGCAGGTCTGCAAGGTAGGTACAGAGTTCTTGCCTGCAGCTGCTGCTGTGTTGCTAGTTGAACCCTTCTCGTCCGGCGTTGTAATGTTTATGCCAAATCAACCGCCAGCGCACCTGCGGGCAATACATATATCGCAACGCCGCTCCCCGTAGAAGGAGCGCGTTGTTGCTGCTGAGCAGAGGCTTCCTGCGATTGGGATCCCAAGGACCGATTTGGAACGTCCACTACAAACAGACTGCCGGTTTGTCCGGGTGCGGTTGCCGCCGCCGCCGTCGTGTGCAGGCTACATATTGTATATACCACCGCGGAGCGTTCCGTGCGCAAACCGAGAAATATCCATCTATCACCGCCGCACCCTCGTCGCCGTTGTGTTTGCAAGGAAGCCGCCACAAAGCAGAGCTCAGCATCGCAGACAACCAACAACAGAGAGGGTTTGCTCCGATTGCGCTACAGCAGTACGATATGCCGGCAGCGCGCAACTACCCGAGGCAAATCGTCGGGTTGTATCCAAAGTTGATGTTTATCCATGGGTTCAGAGGTGTTCACACACACACCCTGTCGGGATTGGAGCTGCTGCGCGACAACAAGTGAACAATTGTGGCGTGTCTCGCTCTTGCGATTTTTTGCTATTGTATTCATTCATCGTTGGTTGTGAACCTTTCGCAACCGGGGGAGAGCCGCTGATGGTGCCGCCAACAACATTCAATCAATTTGACATGATGAGAACGAGCATGCATGCATGTGTAGCCCTTCTCGAAGAAAGTGAAAACTACGCATGACACGGCCGTGTGTGTGTGTGATGTACCCTTGCCGCAGAAGAAGTTCGCTTTTCTGAACGCACTTCTTCCACGTACTACGGGGAATGACGACCCGCTCTTGATACGCGCCGATGGACGGGTCCGTGGACACGTCCACGGGCTTTGTCCCGAAGGGACACATTCATTCAAGGGGACACAAATGTATTCGCTTGGAGAGGACGTACTTACCATATATATGTACATGACATGACAATTCGGGTGACGACGACCTGTCTGTCTGTGTGTCTCGGCCGGTCGGTCTGTACCGGGGCGGGGGAGGGAGTGTTAGCACTTACATGTAAGAAGAAGTTATCTCCGGCTGCAGCAGGTATTCATAAAACCAAAACATTCGCGAGGTTTCGTCATCGTCCAGAACGGTGCGAAGCTCGGAACATTTTGCTGGGTTTGATTGGATGACGCGTCTCCATACCGGCGGTCACTCTCTCTCCTACTCGAGGTAAATGTAGCTCCCACCCGTTCGAGTACAAATACCCCGTTTGTTTCAAGGGAACCATGTGTAGTGTGTGCGCAGTGTGCGTTCGTGTGTGTTTTGCAGTGACGCGCCAGCCGGAACAGAATCACCTAAAAAGTACTAGTCTATGCAAACCTCCCCCGTTGATCATGATCGTGAAGAAAAGCTGAAGCTTTGTTGCTCGTGGCCACGAACGAGCAGCCTACGGTGGTGCATTATTAGAGATCACAACTCAGCAACAACAACAACAACAACAACAACAACAACAACTCAATGAGTATTTTATTGTCCCCCTTTCTTTACAAAATAATTGTTGGCTTCTTCATGCTGTGCAGTTTGTTTACTGGAGGCAAAGAAAGAAGGTCGTACAAAGGCAGCGGCTGACTGCGAGAGGCAGCTAGAAACTAATGACGTCGCATGTGACACGTGCGTATGGCGTGTGTGCGTGCAAATTGTGTATGGTATGCATGTTCTTTTCGGTCCCGTCATTTCTCAGGCACCAATGGACACACTTTCGGCGATTATTTAGCGAGTATTTTTTCACCAGCCGGAAGCACAGGAGGTCATGGGCATTTCTGTCCGGATTTGGGTAGATCCGACTCTTTTATTCTTATATCGAAATGTGATTTCGAGATCTGATTTCTTCGTTAAGACCGACCCTTATTTCACCGACGACGCCTTTCTCGGACAAAAGGTGACGCTATGGATTCATTGCTAATCTATCTTAGACTTCTTTCTGTAGATAGATGTCATATTCAGAAAAAAAAAGAAGTGGGTACTACTCGAAACAATTGCTTTGCGGATGTATACAACAACTCTTCTTCCTCACAGAGGGCCGAACCGCTCAGAATCTCATTCCGAAGTCTGTACAGCATGATGATGAGCACCAAAGCCCATCATCATCATGATGGCCCATCATGCACAACACGAATTTTTTTTTGTAGCGGGCTTTCAGGTAGGTGTCTTCGCCCCACACACCGCCGCGGCGCACACGGCCTCAACAGGTTGCCCGATTTTGTCCTAAATTCCGGTGGGTATTGCAATACTCCGGAGTATTTTGTGCATGCATGCATGCATATGCATGTAACGACCTTTGTCGGGTTGAATGCACGTTCGTCCGAAAAATGTGGCAGCCACTTTCGTCCGTTTTTTCATTTGAATGTTGATCTTCCTCCCGTCACCGCACCCGCAAGGGGGAACTTTGAATGACTGTAACGTTTCGGACGTAGGGTGACGTAACAATACCGAACAAAACAGACAGTACAATATACTTGAAATACAGGGGGGTTCCGCTGACGCTTAAATATTCGTTGCAAATCTGTCTATCGTAGACAGATAGAGATGGAATCGTTGTGTTATATTAGGAAGAAGGAAAAAAAAGTGGGTTTAGACTAGCAAGGGAGAAATAAATACTTCCTCAAAATAAAGGGCACACCCACTTGCACCCGCAGAATTTTCGGACGAAAGGTTGGGCATACCCACTTTTTCCATTCCCTGGTTTGGAGGGGGGAGGGGCAACGAAAGAAGCACAGCGTGTAACAAAGCAATGCTTCTTCTATCATATTTATGAGTGAAAACCTACCACATGTTTCGTTTGTCCATACAATCCCATTTTTTTAATAGTAGCGACCGCTCGCAGTTCTCCTCTTCCTCCCGGTCTCGCCTACCGATGATCCGGGGTCACAACAACAGACGAGTTTGATCCATCCGCGATGCATGCCCTTGTTGTCTTCGTCTTTCTTTCGTTTTCTTTTCGCCTCTGAGGGTTCATTCAGCATTTAACCCATTTTCATTAATTGTCCCTTCCTAATAAATAAAGTGCCTTACATTTAAGAGACACAAACAGCACTTACTTGAAAAATATCAATTCGGGAAGCAGCCGTAGCACACGGCAATATATTATTTATCCCTTCCCCTGTGCCTTACATTTTTGATACTCTCACGAACGAGGCGTTCCATAGTGAGTGATGTGTTCGCGGGCATTTCAGTAATTACTAGGCGGTGCGGCGTCTTCCGGACCCAACCCTCGTGCCCCGCGTTTCACACGCACACACACACACACACGGGGTTGGCGAAGGGTGATGATGCGGCAGCACTGCAGCTGTGAGCTTGAGCCCAAATCAATCGTGGCCAAGTTTTTTGCGGTTGCGTCTCTTTGCTTTCATTGGCACGAGCCGCGACCTCGAGGGGGTCAGAAAAATAATCAATCAATCGTGTTTCGTCGAAGAGCCGGCAAATATGGACCGCCTACGCAGGGATTGTAAGAGTATCTAGAAAAATAATAGGGAGGGAGCGCGCAGACCCTATCCCTAACCCTACCCCTAATATCGCCTCGGTTTAAAAAAAAACGTTGGACGCCATCTGATCTCTCCTCGAACTTCCCCCTTCCCCTCTCCCCCCCAGCTGTTTACCGGACGCACACACACCGCCTGCAGAGGCCAGAAAATTTTGCGACCACAAACAGCCGTCAGGGGGGAAACCATGGCCGTCGCAGCCATCATGCCTCCCTCCATGCCGTCCTCCAAGAAGCGATGTTGGAATCTGCTCGTGAAGGACGTCAGGAACAACGGTGAGCAGGATGACCCCACACCGGTGTGTGCGGCACACGGCACGGTATGTATGTATGCCTTCGTGTCGGGATCGCACTCAAAACGTGCAAGGCCACACAGCCCACCCCGCGGCGAAACGAAATGAAATGAAGCAGCAGCGGAACAACAGGAACGGCCAGTTCTCCCAGGCTGGGAAAAAACTCACATTTATCTAGCGAAACCCCCGCTAAACCTTGGAAGTCGAAATAGTTTCTGTGTATCACACACCGGCAACAAGAATTTTTCCGATCCCGTTGACGGTGTTTCGAGGCAGCAATCACTACTATAGATAGCATCAGCAGTTTCAAAAATGTTCACAGCCTCGGTGTTTGTAGTAGCTCAGCCGTTTCTGTCTCCCTAACTCATTCTGCCCCCCCGCCCCCGCCCCCCCAAAAAAAAAACGTGTTTCAGCCCAGGAGGCCGAGGTGCTCTCCTCCTTCCGGAAGAGGTACACATCGACCCGAAAGCTGGCCTTCCGGCCTGTCGCCGACTACGCCGGCGGCTCGACATCAACCTCCAACCCTCCTCCTCCCCCCACCGACAACAACGACAACACCGACAACACCACCACCACCACCACCGCCACCACCACCATCACACAGGGCGGCAGAGCCTGCATCGAGATCCAGTTCACCGGCCCGCAGCCCATCGAGGGCCCCGCAGGCCTGATGTGCAACCTTCTCCAGGCGACGTTCGTCTCGGCGCACCCCGTTCAGCTCGACCGGGGCCGCAAGAGGAAGACCCGGCCCGGCGGCGGCGGCGGCGGCGGCGGTCGTCCCCCCTCCTCCTTGGCCTCCTCCACACCTCCCTTGGCGGAAACAAGCGAAGAGGGTGAGTTTTGAATTTAAGGGTTGCGGCATGTGTTGCGCCCTGTTTTGGAAATCGGAGCGCGTGGTATGCCATGCGCATTTTGTGAGGGACAAAGCATATGGATGCTGTGCTCAGAGATCGGTGTGCGCCTCTCTCGCCTTCTCTCTTTGTTCAATTGTGCTGCGGATTCTGCAGGCTTGGATTTTTCGCTCTTTAAACCCTCGTCCCCCACGAGTGGAATTAAGTCTCCATTTTTTTTGTGCCATAATGTTGTCCTCTCTTCCAAAGTCATTTTCACCCTCACCTCATCACCGGTGCCCCTCTTTCTCCTTGCTTTGCCGCGATTTCCCGTTTCATGTAGGATGTTCGAGAAGCGTCGCGTTGAAGACGACCGCTGCCGACACCGCTAGCGCCACGGCTTGCGACAGCCCGGTCAGCAGCAGCAGCAGCAGCAGCAGCAGCGGTGGCGCAGCAGGGGCAGCAATGAAGAGTGGAGCAGCAGCAGCAAAGCACGAGGACCTCAGCGCCTATGTCAGCGACACCACCAGCTACGCCAGCAGCAGGACCAGCAGCTCCAGCGACCTCCTCGACCTCCTCGACCACGACGACGGCAGCAGCAGCAGTAGTGGCAGCAGCGACGCAACGTGGGCGGACGTCGGCGAGCTACCCTCCACGTCGTCACCGTTCTCCCCGAACCATGAGCAGCAGCACGCCGTGGAAGACGATGACATGGTCGTCAGCGACGACGACATCTGCACGGCGTTCGGCGGAGCGTTCGGGGGCGAGGGGGGCCTGATTCTCGGAGAAGGCGGCGGCGGCGGCGGCGGCAGCCTCTCAGCCCCGGTCCCCGCCACCACCGCCGACTTCCCGGCGTCATCGGCGTCGCCGCCGCCGTGTCTGGGCCGCTCCTGCAGCGTCATGACTGCCGAGGGCAACGACCTCCCCAGGTGGGACGATGTTATCCGCGGCGTGGGGTCGCCGCCGTCGTCGGGCGGGAGCATCGACGAGGCGGATGCGAGCGGTGACCGGCTGCCTGCGGCGGCGGCGGCGGCGCCGCCGCCGCCTTTCGGGGCAAGACCTGCCTCTGGTGACACCGACGACCCCGCGCCTTCCTCTGCCTCTTGCCCAGGCCTGGCCCGCGGCACCAGCTACGACGAGTGCAGAGCGGGCTTCATGTCTCAAGAAGAAGCGGTCTCGCTATTCGCCGCCACTGGTGCAGCCACGGCAGAAGCCAAACCACCGGCCTCCACTGCCGCCGCTGCCGCCGGAGACGACCAGTGGGAGCGCGCGCCCGGCGACGACCCGGACGGGCCGTTCTGCCCGCTCGCTCTGGAACGCCACTGTTCGTCGACTTGGGCGCTGCTTGACCCAACCCACGCCGGCGCTCCTGCTGCGGCGGTGACGGTGGCCGGGGAGGAAGGCGCTCCCGACCACCGGCGTGCCAGCATAGTCCCCGACCCGTGTCTAGCGGCGGAGTCGTCGTTGGAGGAGCAGCAGCAGCCGACCATGTGGTACGGCGAGGGACCTCACCACCCCGCCGTCCCCGCCGGAGGCGGACTCGAGCTGCCGCCAGCCGGGGACACGATAGCGTTTGGTTGGTGCGAGCAGGTGAAGAGATGACCGCGGCGTTGTGGGGACCGTTGTGGTTTTTTGGTAGTGTTTTAGCTTCCCAGACCCTCAGGCCCGCGCGTCAAACAAATTTATTAACGCGAAAAAAAGGTTGAACGAAACACGACCGGCCTCTATTCAGGCCCGGCCCTTCTTTTTTGTCACACGCGAGATAGCCGCATATGTTGAGACTCGTCCTAGTCCAGTCGGAGGTACATGTAGCGGTAAACGAAGTGACGAAAATTAGTTGCCACCATGGAGAAACGCACGCTCATGCCCCCCCCCTACACGTTGACGATTCAGGAATGTGACTTCGATGGGAACTACGCCGCGAGGCCTTCCAAGACCGCCCGGGTACTTCCGCCTACCGCGGCGACATCTTTCTTCCCAGATCCATCGGCGGTGGCGGTGGCGGCGGTGGCGGCGGCGGCGGCGGCGGCGGCCTGTACGTCCTCTCCCTCCTCGAACTCCCTCAACAACCGGTGCCGGTTCGCCTTCTTGGGCCTCGAGAGCGAGATCCGCGATTTCACCGTGTGCGCGCGGTTCTCCGTCGACCCGGCGTCAAGGGTGGAACGGTTCGCGAGCTTGCCCTTAGATGGGGCAGCCGGTGGCGGTGGCGGTGGCGGCGGCGACCCTGCCGGAGCCGTTGGTGGAAGACGGGGTCGAGTGGACGCGGCGGTAGAGTTCCCCAGCATCATGGAGATCTGGCCGGAGGTGTACAAAGTGGACAACATTCGCGTCATGGAGGTGTGTATGGATTTGCATAGCCCGCGCTAACTGGCAGACCAATGAAAAGGTTTTACGTGTGTGTGTGTTTTTTTTTTTTTTTTCTTACTAGCATCGACATCGCTGACCGGCTCACCAATGAAAAGAGGGCAGTCTTAGTTCGATTGTGTGTGCGGGTGTGTGCGTGTTTTTTTTTCAGCTGGCATCGACCGGCTGACCAATGAAAATGACGTCAGGGTGTATACAACGGGCAATCACACAGAGAAAACACCACCCTTCACTGTCCCCCATTGTTGCAGGTGGATATGGTCGTGGAAGTTCGATCGTCAGACGGGAATATCTTGTACACCGGGCCAACGCTCAAGGTACGTACGTGCGTACGTGCTGAGGATACATTGCGTCAGCGTTGTCGTGACACTCGCTCGATCGGATGTTGCCCAACCCCATGCCGTCCGTTGCCTGGCGACGGCGGTGCTAGGCAGTCGCCCCGATGATGCCGGCTGAAACGACCCTGTTTGCGCAAGCAACACCAACGCGCGCCCATTTCTTGCGAGCAGACTCCCGTGTACCCAGGGAGGGCTAGAGGCCATGTGGCGTCTGCGAGAACGGGGCGGAGATTTAGTTGGTGGGCGTATGCTCGCGCCGGGAGTAGGGTAGCGGATCGCAATTTTGCGTGGTTTTTGGTCTGACGCTCGCGGGGAGTGCAGAATGTGCGGTCGGAGAAAACATCGACATTGGCAGATCGGGGGGGGGGGACGGGGGCGAAATTTGTGTGTCGTCGCTCATGCGCCTTGTGCTCGACACTGCAACGTACCGCGTACCACATGTTAATGATGAATGCATCCCTCCAAGCCTCCCTTCATACCTTTTTCTTTGCCGTGGTTCTTCCTTGCACACGGTCCACTCCGCGGCCCCCCTACCGATCACCCGCCAGATAACCTACCGGCGTTCCGCAGCGCGAACGTCCGCTCCGACGGATGCCGCTGCCGCTGCCGCCCTAATGACCTGACGGGAGACTCTCGCGGAGAAGGTCGTTGTTCCTATCAGACGGAAAAAATCTTCGTCCAAGGCGGGTCTTCCGTTTCAACACATGCTCTGCCTGTGTATGTAGAGTGCCTCCGGAGGGGGAGAAGCCGTGGTGCGGGCGTCCCTGCTTCTGTGTGTGTGTGCCTGTGTGCTGCACAGACGCGAGGGAGGGAAGGAGCCCCGTCGGGAGGGGCGAGAGCTTCGCTCGCTCTCTTGCGATCCCGAAAACTGGAGTTTGCGACCCTGTTCCGGTCCACAGCAGCAGTCCTCCGTGGACATGGGAAGCCGCGGTCTTTAAAGGGGTACTTTTCTTGAGCGTTTATTTTATCGGGTAGTCTTTGTGCTTGTCTTTCTTGAGTAGGTCTTCTGCTGGTGCTGCTGGTGTTACTGCTGTTGTTGTTGTACTTTCTGCGCAATAGTTGCTGCACACGCGGGGTGCTTTGTCCGTGCTTTTGGGGTCCGTTAGCCCCCATCGTGAACGTGTTTTCTGCATAATTGTTGTTGTTGTGCAATGGGACGGCTAGCCTTACCTGTTGGCTGTCTGCTGTCTGTGTACGTCCATTCCGTGTGTGTGTCTTCCTCATTTGCATCGACCGTGCTAACCGGCTGACCACTGAAAGCACGCCAGTCTCAGTACGGTGTGTGTGTGTGTGTGTGTGTGTGTTTACTACTTGCGTCGATCGCGGGCTAGCCGGCCGACCAATCAAAAGGCCTCAGTCTGAGCGAGACTGAAAACAGAAAAGCAAGCGCTTCTTCCGAGGCATGATCTGGGACCCCGTGAGGGGGCGTCATGGGAGAGTCTTTGCCTCTGTGTGCACGGCCAGCTTTGTTTTGCCCGGTTGTTGGTGGCCATCGTCGTACGTACGCCGTTTCGCTGTCTTATATTTCTAGTGAACGAATGCAGGTATGTTATAGTGAGTGTCGATGAGCTGGTTTTGGCAGGGCTACATCACTCCTCGCGTAGCGAAAGACAGTATTATAACCGTCCTCGGGGTGGGGGCTCCGCATCGTGTCTTGCGCGCGGTTTATATATTGCTGCGGAAACTGTCTGTGGTTGTTGTTGTTATTGTTGGTATTGTTTGTGTCTCCAGTCCTTCCTTTCCCACTCGTGTGGCTCCTCTGCTTGTCTTTTCGCGGGTGTGGACTTGTGTGCGGTGTACTGTAGTGCTTGCTGGTTGCACTGTCCATTGGGTTCTCGATTGCTTTTATCTTTTATCAGGGTGTTTTTCCGCCCTGGGTGGGGGGGGACGGGCGAATGAAATAGTTCGTGTGCACGGTATTCCGCCGTCTCGACTCGTTCCTCGCTTGAAGGAAGGTATCGACGAGCCGTAAGGGTCGTTTGGAATTCTGGTTGGCGGGCTTGAAAAACGGCGATAACCCTTGCACGTGTCAGCTTTTGCGCTCTACCTGCCGCAGGTGGACATGTCGTCGTCGTTTTAACGACCTTTTCGTCCAGGTGTTACAAGCAACTCAACATCTGCGGGTGAGCGATTGACTTGCTGGGGTAAAACATGGCCCCTGATTGGTGTAGTAATCAATCGACAACCGTCTTTCAGAGAGTGATGTGATGTGATGTGATGTGCCGTGGCGGAAGTTTTGAAAGTATATTGTGTGTGTCTTTATACTAGCGTTGACCGTGTAAACCGGCTGATCAATCCATCAATACGTTTATGTGTGTGTTTTGCTACTCCTTCTGGTGGATGACGATGGTTGCTTGGCTTACGGGGGATAGGCGACGATTTCTGTATGGGCGGAAGGGATGCATGGGCTATGCTTAATTAACTATCTCTCCTATCACTATCTCCCCCATCACATCCCCCGCGTACAGATTTCTAGGCTGATCGCGCCTGCCTAATGTGGGGTATAGTAGTAGGGGTCACGATCAATTTATCTTGTTGGTGTGGACTGGACTGGCAGTAAGTGCTCTTTCTTTGTTGTTTAAGACTACTTAGTTCGCACGCTTGATTATTTTCGGGTTTGGTCGGCCGCTTGACGTACGTGTCGTGGAGAGTGGGTGACCGCGATGGCATGCATTGCAACACGTGGGCTTGAGCTTGGGTTGCGTGTATATATATAGTTCGAGCCTGGTCGCCCCTCCTTGTGGGCTCTTACTGTTTTCTTCCGTGGTGGGCGGTCTGTCTTGGAAACGGAGACATGATGTACTGGGGTGCCCATCAAAAGGGGTGCTTACTTTGCACGCACACAGGTCCGAAGTCGTTTGGCGCCAGGAGGTCGGGAGGAACGCCAGGGGAAATTTGATGTATGTAGTTCCTGCCGTCCTTTGACCCGTTGTGTGTTGAGTTTAGAGTTTTTTCGAAGGAGAATACAGTAGAATGATCGATAAGCCGTGCTGTACGGGGTGTTCTGTTTCGTGAGAAGAATATGTAGGAACAAGAAGAGCAAGCACTTGGCTTTGGAGATACGGTGCAGTATACCGCAAGCCACCTCAGAATACATGGATGTTTTGTGTGATAACTTAATTGCTGTTGTTGCGTTGTTTGTGCTTGTCGGTCGTTCGTCGTTCCGTCTGCTCTACTAACGTGCAGCACGTTCGGTGGTCGTGGGAGGGAGGGGGGGGGTACTTCTTGGCGATATCATTCCCCGGCTCCGACGCTTCTACACATCTGACGTCTTTTTATGGATCAGCCTCCGTGCCTACCGATAGCCTCGCTTTCGAGCCGCCAACGTTCGAACATGATGCGGGCTTCTCCCAGATTTCCCTGTTAGACTATAGGTCGGCTATGTCTGCCTCCTATTTATCATTTCCGCGTGTCTGTCGATCTGGATCTTGTCATGTTTTGCTTTGTGACTTGTCTTCTTTCGACGGTGGTGGGACCTATCGAGATCATCGCATTCTGTTTGCTCGCAATTAAGTAAGTAAGGTGGATGCTGCTATTTTACATTGTTATTTCAGGGTTCGCCTATTGGCCGCGGGATTCCAGTACTTGTTCGTCGAGGAAAACGAGAAAAGAGAGAAGGCACGGGGGCTAGTGAGCTACACCTCAAGCAGCAAGCATGCAGGCGCGAATGGAAGACGGGGTGAACAATCCGGTTGCTCGTGTGTTGATTGTTCAGAGTTTGGTTCTACTATATACTCTCATGACTGTCTGTGCGTTGCTTGCAAGTCAACGCACACGGCGGCAACATGAACGACATGAATCCACGTAAATAGTCACGGCTCGGCGTGTATGCGCAAAATGCGCGCCTCTTACACCTCCAGGTACACGCGTTCACGGGAGGGAGTAGTGACGGTTGGTTCAACTTTACAGCCTCTTCCTCCGCCCCTCCAACCCTCCCTTGATCTGGATTCCCAAGGGCCCTTGTCTCCTCTACATACACGGCGGACGGCGGTTCGTACCTTCTCGGGTGAACGTAGGGGTTGGGACGGAGGTACAATTTGCGTCTCCCCCTAGGTCTCGCTCTTGTCTCTTGTCTCGTTTCTCAACCGACCTGATCTTCAGATTGCATGCCCTCGCACGCCACTCGAGATAGACACTGGAGCAAACACAGTTGCTGGGGCTGACATTGGAAGGGAGAGTCTAAAGAGGTGAGACCATAGACGGGGATCGGACGGCTTGAGCACCATTTGCAATGCCATACCTCCAGAATTATGCTGCTGCTTGTTCTGCTGCTGCTGCTGTGTGACTTTGGGTCCGGCGCTGGCTTTTTTAGAGACACCCGTAAGGCCTACTTGTCGTGTACCTGGCAAGATCGATACGGGGACGAGCACGTTGACGCCGAGTCACGTTATTGGGTCACCGCTGTTCCGTGTTTTTTGGCGATGCTGCCGGACTCGCGGAGAGTTACTTGCCTTTCAAGCGGATCGCGAGTCGACATTCGCAAGATCTTCGGATGAATCCAACCGTTGGAGTCTCTCAACCGTTCTCAAATCTTACCATATGGGTACTTGCGCGTGTGGAGACAAGGGAGATACATCAAGTCTGCTGTCTTGTGGTAGAACTCTTTACGATTAGTAGCCGCCAGTCAACCCATTGGGGTTCACACCCACGTACAGATTCTGTGTCGTCAGCGCGCTTCGGGCGGCGGGTGATTTATGACTCGAGTCGATGCCGGTGCACGAACAAAAATACATGCCACACGGTACACCAGAGCCCTAGCAGAAAGGAGATACCCTTAACCGTGCTGCACCTCTCAGCAAGAGAACATGCAGTAATGCTATGTGCATATTTCCTACAGAGCAGGGGTCAACCCTGCTTCATTCTGGGAGCTAGACGAGATGTTCGCCAATTTGACAACGTCAAACTCATGTGACGGAAGACACCACCCTTTCCTTACCACTGGGACGCTTTATTTCCTCCCCGCTGGCATCTCTGGTCTGTAGGAGCAGACCAATAAATAACTCTAGGTTGATGTTAGATCCACGTCGGCATGGGCCATGGAACCTTCGCCCGCTCGCCCTGTACTCGCTCGGTGAAAACAAGCCACACGAACGCAGCAACATTTCCAGGCGTTAGCGACGTGGCGACGGCCAAATATCTTGCGTCAACAACGTGGTCTGCCCTTGAAAAAACAAACAAACAAATAATGTGTAGTGAGATCGTGCCTACCGTATGTTCCTTGCACTGCAATTTATCCGTTCACGTTTTGTGCCATAACATTTGAAAGGATCATCGTTGAAACGTAAAACAACGCTATTTCGTGATCGCCTCGTCGAGCTACGTACGTACGTACGTACGTCGATAGCTCCGGAGATATATTTCGTTTTGAAGAAAGTGCATGATTGATTTCCCACTTCTTGCCAAAAATGATCCGCGGAATCCCCTTCTCACTGCGGAGTCGCCTCTGAAATTCTCCCAGTCCGCATCCAATCTCCCACACCACTGACAGTTTTGTTAAACCGCCCATGGGACACTCATGGGTCACCCATAGGCCGCACGGGGCACTTCAACCTACAATCAACCTAGAACGTAGCCACCAGCGCCAACCTATGTAAGCACGTATCGTGTGGGCTTGGGCTTAGAGTTAGGGTTGGCGTTAGGGTTAATAGCCGCATTAGTCTCGTTCCCGTTCCAATGCAGATAATCTATTGTTTAGGAGTACACTGGTTCGGTTGAAGGGCTCTCATTGGCTGCCCATGGGCTTCCCATGGGTTGCTCATGGGCCGCGCATGGGCTGCCCATGGGCCTAACGGGGTGCCCATGGGCGGTCCATGGGCCGATTGGGAAAAATAGAATGTGTGGGAGATCCTCCGCATCGGCATGACTTGTACGAAGTACTACGCACATCTTCGGAGCCAAAACAAGCCGTATTTTTCTCGCGAAATTTTGGCTTTCCTCGGAAAAACAACACGTTTAGCGGCGGTTGACGAGAGGAATTATTTGCCCCATTCTTTTTGGAAAGCCTGCAGATCTATCTCCCACAACAGTGAACGATAGAATGTGGCCGTCCAGATCCGTTTTTTCCTCCATATCTCGCTGAAATTTTAGACATTATTCAATCGGAAAAACCCCATAGTATGTAGAATATTCCAAGAGGTGTCCAAATCCATCGAGATATTCAAGTACGGTACTCGACACCGCCCAAAAGAACGATAGAAGATGTTTCGGTTCATCTGCTCGGAGAACAAAGTCCAAGAACAAGAGCCAAAAAAAACTCGGCCTTAGGAAGATGCGCCTGGAGAACAGGGGGATTTCGGCCACATTGTGAACTGCACGGACCGTGTGCCCGGTCGAGACGATGTATCCCGTTCGAAGGAGGAATGTGTGGAGGTATTTGTAGTGAGTTTTGGGCTAAATCTGCCGGGTACTGGACTTCAAGCTTGAGTCTTTGTAAGCCCATCCAGGAGATATGAGTGTGTGCCGGTCATAACAGTAACCACAACTATACCATACATAGACCGTGTAGTATGGTCTCATCCCCTGTTTGTCCCCGCGGGGACAACCGAAAACATGCCAGGGAGAAAAAACCTCCAATACGTTGTCGTTAAACCAACAACACCCGCCCCCGCCCCCATGAATCTTGAACTCGCCGTCGGCATGACTACTCGAGCAGGCCGTGGCGGTGGTGAAAGAACGGACCGGACACGCGAGATCCCGAGGAGAACGGCGATGAGCTCCCGGCAAGAGACCGGCGGCGGCGGCGGTGGCGGCAGCAGGCAGCTCGCGACGGCGTTGTTGGCCTTGGTGGCCCTGAACGCCTGCTTTGACGTCGGCGCCGGCTTCTCCAGCGGCATCCCGTGCCCCGTCGACCTCTTCTCATGCCTGGGCGACGACGAGTGCAGCTCCTGCCTGGACGCCCTCCAGGAGAACGACCTCCCGATCCTCGGGGGCGATTTCGAGCTGTGCGGCGACCTGTACGCCGGCGTGTGCGCCGCCGCCGAGGCAGTCGGCTGCAACACCGACAACGAGGACCTGGTCGAGTTCCTGACCTGCGTGGCCGACGACTCGTACGGGTGCGGGGACTTCACCACCTGCGCGGACTTCCCCGCGGAGGAGGAAACACCGCCGCCAACCGCTCCCCCGTCCCCGGTTGTCGCCGCCGCCACGACGACCGCGCCCGGGACTGTCGCGCCCAGCGGCGGCGGCGGCGCGACGACCGCTGCCCCCACGGCGGTTGCCGTTCCTACACCCACACCCTCTTCTTTCCCGTTCCCAGAGACCGCCGCGCCTACCGCTGCCGTGGCCGCTGCTACAAGCGCTCCATCTTCTGGCTCCCGCGGCGGCCAGCTGTTCTCGCCGACGGCCGCACCCACCGGCGGCGGCAACGGGAAGGGTCTTGACACCGCCTATCCGACATCGGCCTCGGTGTTCGAGGGCTTCATGGACACGCTGGCTCCGTCCGCCGCGCCGACCGGGCCCGACGGCGGTCTCTGGGGGGGAGCCGTGTTCTCGGGCACGCCTACCGCGGCTCCGACGGTCGGGTTCGAGGACGCACTTGACGGCGTTAGCGCCGGCAGCGCCTTGGCTGTGGCTACCCCCGTCATCGTCGTCGCCGCCGCCGCCGTGGTCTTCTTCGCGGCGACTGCTCTCCTCGCCGACTTCTCGCCGTATACCCTGGCCGCTTGAATCCGCGTGTGCATTCTCGGGCTTGAGGGGAAGGGGGCGCCGGGATCAGCGGGCGGCGGGGGTGCTCCTTTAGCGCCTGAGACGCCGTGACCGCAGGCGCAGGGCGAACGACCTCATTGACAACACTGGTGTTGCCGTAAGCTCTAGGTGTGCTGTCAACCGCGATCGCATTCGGTGCTTTGGTATTCTCCGAACATATTTTGCGCTATAGTACGGGGCTGTTATTGGTTCCCAGTCTTTCAGGGGGCAAGGGGGTCGGTCAAGGGCGGGAGAAAATGGCGGATCGAACTCACACACGCTCTGTGTTGTATGTAGCACATGGATGTCCCGACACGGAGAGAGACGTATGCATGGGAGTTCCCGTTCAGGGACTTGGAGAGCTCCTGCTCATCGTGAGGCCAGGCCAACTTCTGTCCGGAGGGTGCTGCGGTAGTTCAAGCATGGCGGGGGTGAGAAAAAAAAAAAAGGCGAAATCTTGAATCGCGCAAAGTTCGAACGTGGGTTGTTTTGTGTCTTGGCCCAGATGTCAGGTCAGGGCGAGGCATCCCTGATTTTTGTACAACACCCCGGCCTTCTTTGGCTGTTCGACGTTGGTCTGACAGCCGACGGAGAGAGGGCGGTTATTCTGCTTCGTCTCCGATTTAAGAACGAACGAGGTTCTTGGAACCGACATGGTGGGAGCGGTTTTTCAGCTACGTTATTCTTGATGTCTTCTGGTGATGGGGAGAGAGCGAAACCGTTTCGCGCATGAATGGCGTGAGACGTGTTTTGTCTGGATTAGAAGTAATAGGTCGAGCAAGGGGCGAGAGGCTGATTTTGAGGCTTTTCTTCCGCGTTGTCTTCGTATTTTTTGTTTTTTTGTCATCGTTTTTTGGAGGTCACCTTGAGTGATCCTGATGGTCACATGTTATTGGTAGGGGGTATATATATGGACTGTTATATTTGATAGTCAAGAGAAAGGTGCTTGCTTTTCGGGACCCGCAACAACGCCAACAACAATGAGTGCAGCGTATGCCTCGAATCGAGGGGGAGAACCCCATCAAGATGCGCAATTGTTCGACTAGAGCGTGCGAAGTATTGCATGTCTTGTATGCTGGCATTGTTCCTGAAGGGCCTGCTACCCCGGGGGGTTCGCGTGTGTGCGAACAATCAATCGTGATTTTCCCGTGAAGCGTTCATACTTCTTCTCCTGCCTTTGGCGGGGCATATATATGCTTTACAATCTCGAAACCTGTCGCCACCATCGTTTCTGCATTGCGTGTACCGATCGGCTAGTTTGAATTTGTTGCGTGGGTTTTGGGGGGGGCGAGGTGTACGTGGCAGAAGCAACGGCGTACATCTAATATGTCATACTGCTGTAGTTCTTGCGTACTTGCCAATTGAACAGTTTCAGGGATATACTCTCTACGTGCGTAGTCAATATAGTTTACTACTGTAGTTGTCGGTGTGTGACTCTCGGTCGTAGGCTGTTGGTCATTGCAACGTCCGATGAATGATGGACGACGTATCGCGTGTTGTTCGGTTTAGTTGGTGGTGAGAGATCCAACGCTGGGGTGGCCGGTGCGGATACTTGTTCGTTCGGTGATGATGCTCGATAAATTAAAAACAGACGTCTCTCGACGTCGCCTTGAGCTTGTTCGTATTGGATACTTTCTATTTGCTGTGGTGGTGGGTGTGGCGAGGAGAGCAATTGTTCAATCTCAACAAACGTCCCGTACTAGTTTCAGGGCGCCACTCTCTCTGTCTCTCTCGATAGGATTGCCTGAGCACGACCGGCTGTGCTTGGTGGTAGGAGCCGAAAATTTGGCGGGGGACACGGCCGCCCATTCACGCCCCCCCCCCCGCGCCAAGGGTGGCACTTTGAACATGTATGTACGGGTTCGGACAGTGTGCAGGGCTAGATCTGGAGACTAAACATTGGATCTGTGCTGCTGCCCGATGCGCATGTTGGCTACCTAGATGTCCTCCAGGAAGCCTTTTGGTCCTATCGGCGATATCGACGGCCGCGATGTCCTGAGAACCGGATCCAAACCCAACCATGACGGGTATGCTCGCCTCGTGTTGTGGATGCCATTACCGTATACGACACAAGATAACACACCCCCTAGATCGATTTTCAAAGCTCGATTACGCCACGATGAAGAGGGTGCAAATAACGAAACGAAACGTTTCCGGAAAGCTCTCGACGAGACAGCTTCAACGCCGCCGTCTTCGGCGCTGTGACTCTTTCTACTGATGAGAAATCGAGCTTTGAAAATCGGTCCAGGGGGTGTGTTATCTTGTGTCGTATACGGTACGCTAAATGCGCGCACGTTTGCCACTTTGATTGGAAAGTAAAATCCCAACAATTGTACGTTGGAACCTTCAATCCCTGAGCATCGGCTCCTGTTGTTGGAAGTGGGTGATTTCTCGAAGATAGACGGCCACCCGCGATGTGTGGGACAAAAAAAAAGTAACACTTGGACGCAGGGAAACTACAGTAGAGCTGAATCGTGTAAATTTTAAACAAGAGAGGCAAAGCGCCGCGGACGTACGGTGCAGTGCAAGACTACACATACTTATGTCGTGGGGTTGTTCGCCCTCCTCCAGTGGATATTATAGTGATGCGCTCGACAGAGGTATTTCTGCAGTAAAGGGGCACGTGAAGATGTTGCCTGGGACAAGGCGTCATGAACGATGTTCGCTACTGGAAAGTGCCGACCGGCTTGTTTATTCGTGGTTCTGCCGCAGGTGAAACCGTCGAAGCGATGTGATAGTTTTTTTCATGTTTATTTTTTGTCGAACCGGCACCACACGCCCAAAGTGCGCGCGCGCCGACCGCATATGCATGCAACTGGTCGTGCGTGTGTAGCGGGTCCCTTCATCAAATGGACGAATAAGAGCAGAGATAGATAGGCACGGAGTAGCCGTATTATGTACTCGTATTTCCTGCGTACTGATTGGAAGCAGGTGTCTCACACAATCATCGAGTCCCATCGGCGATGGAGGTTGATGCAGCACCAAATGAAGGGGATGAAGGGACAAGTACATCCCACGAGGGTGGCGTGAGAGGTGGGTGAACCCGTCCCAACCACAAAATAAGTCATTGCCATTTGATGAGCCAACCGCGTGTCAAGGTGAAACAGTACGAAGCCTTGTGGTGCCCACCTGCCCTCAAGTAGACTACCCCTATAACTACACTTGAGCGCCTGTCTCTCTGTGAGAACTCTGCAAGTAAGACTACAGTACAGTAGTAGCCTGTTGAGAGCTTCGAAACTTCTACATACAGTACTTGCAATCACTTGCCATCCTGACAGCAGCAAATCATTTATTTTGTCTTTGAATCATGACTATCTGACACGTCACGGGGTGGGAGAGTTTTTCTTTCTGTGGAATGCGTACTTTGACGAGAGCTGCTTGTTATTTGATTGCGGTATACATTTCATATTGTAAGTGCTATGTTACGTTACTACTGTAGCATCGACCGCGCTAACCGGCTGACCAATGAAAAAACGTCAGTCTCCGTGCGATTGAAACACGAGAACACTTCTAAGGGACCCCGTGACGGGGCGGCATGGGGGAGGCTCAGCTATTCTCCGGATTAAAGGCAGAAACGGTAGCAACAGAAGAAACTGTGTGTGTCCCTGTCTTTCGACACGTCTGTCCACTTCCAATGATGAGCCCTCACAACATGTGTTTCCCAAGTTTATCCGTCGTGCAGCCTCAGGAACAGAGACGCTTTTCTTGCGATCAAGAATCAAATATGAACAATCAAGATCAAACTTACCCTGGGTCGCCTGATTCTTCTTCCGTGTACCCGGGTGTATTCGCCGCCGGGGTTACGCCCGCCAAGCCATTCCCCACACGTAAACACCATATCAAACGCGAAGAAGGTGGTAATAATATCACTCCATCGGACAAATAAGGAAGGAAGAGGTGTAGAACGCCACCAACAACTGACGAAAAATACCATCACATCGGGGGCCATGAGAGGGAGTGGGTTAGCGATAACCGCATCAGAGGTTAGTGGGTGCAGAATTTCGGCGACTTTCAATATTGCGAAGCTGTACTTCATATAAAGATTAATTCCAACTCTCGATATTCCCCCAATCATGGGTGACAGTTATCAGTATCCTGATACGGTAGCAATCTTCGGAGGTATTACGCCGTATGGGAAACAGAACCCTACAACACTCGCGTTAGCGCATGCATACGACCAACCTCCCACACTACTGGCAGTTTTTCTAAACCGCCCACGAGCCGCCCATTGGAACTTGATAGACTGCCCATGAGCTGCCCATGGATTGCCCATGAGCTGCCCATGGATTGCCCATGAGCTGCCCATGGATTGCCCATGAGTTGCCCACGGTGGGCCCATGGGCTGCCCATGGTCACCACTTAAGTACCCATGGGTGCCCCATGGGCGGTTTACCAAACCTGTACAAAGTATGGGAGGCCCCCTACGACTGATTTGCATGAACTCCTACAACAACACCAACGATCCAAGAAATTGATACAGAGGGGTGAAATATTGAGCAAAAGGTGACGTGCTTCCCATCTGCCGAGGGGGGCAAACATTTATCAGAAAAATACGAAGTACCCAGAGTACCGAGAACGGGGCGTTTGGGGGAGGTGGCGTGTGCAGCCCTTGGGTCAAGCCTATCAGGGACAACATATTTTAGCGGTCCCGAGCCTCTTGGCCTTTCTGTACACTACCGAGGCGTAGGCTGCCCTTCGCTCAATTGTATTCAACAGCAGCCGTCCTCCGGAGTCGAAGGTAGATATATGTGTGCCTTTGGGAGAGACTACAACATGTCCGCGTCGCCGGACCGGGATACACTCGTGAATCTGGTGATGTTGGACATTTCTCCGATCTAGACGTGAAATACGGCGGCAATGAGCCAACAGCAAGAGCTGCCCCGACGCAGACCCTTGTTCCCAACGCTCTGCATTCGCGACGGTGCATGAGCAGACCTATCCCATACCGTTTGATGCAGCAACCAAACAATCCGCGGCAAACAGGACCCTGCTGCTACTCTTGCTTCCTGACGCCCCGTGCGTCTACCTACTTTCACAGATGTGACATTGGAAGACAAACGATCCTGGTTTGTGAGAACCCACGCCGCGGCCAATCAAGCCGCGGATGAGAGGTTCTACCGGCTGGGCTACTGGGTGGCGACCCACCCGACGTTGACCCTGCTCCTAAACCTAGTCTTCGTAGCACTCTGCTCCATCGGTTTCGTGAACTTCACAATCGTCACGGACGGTGAGTCTAGTCGCAACAATTAGAGCATCATCGTAACATTCAGGCAGGGTTGTGGTTTCGGCGTCTTGCGTGGGAGCCGGTCAAGACTCCACAGCGTTAGGTTAGACTAGACCGACCGGACATCGTTGGGCGTCAATACGCCGCCGGCTCGATTGGGTGTGTGTACTACATCCTCAGCTGACATACCTTGTTTCTGTGGGTTTCGGGATTGTTTCGTCGAGTCTCGTGCTGACGGCCAGTCTACGTGGTCGTTGCTACGTCTGCATCCTCTGGAGACCAGGACGCAACCCCAAACTGTCGTGCATCGCCAGACTCGTGGAAACGCGAAGCTTAGCTTAGTGTTGCGCCTTATCTTGTTAGACCTGATGTTAAAAGTACTCCTTCTCCTCGCGCGGAACCCCACAATACTCCCAAAAGTTCACGATCCCATGGTGCCTTTCGAAAATGACTTGTTTCGTGGGCTGGAAATACAGGCGAGGTACTGTGGGTGCCAGCCAACTCGCTATCCAAGCAGCACGAGCTCATCATTCTTGACTATTTCGACGAAGGTACGTTGGTCAGGAATTGTCCGCCAAAGTCACCAGGGGGGAGTCCCGTTGGTATCGCGTCCCGCCGGTTCATTTTTGTAGCTAAAAGTGTAAGGAGAGTGTAGACTATGCCCGAAACCACGCCTAGAGATCGAGGATTACCCTACTCGTCGTGCTGATTGCGTCATAAGTCTACGAGTGCAGGGTATGGGACAGTAGCTCCAACGGTCAGCGTCCGACGTGCCCGAATTTTCCGTACTCAACGAGGCGTGCCGAGGCGTCCGTTGACTGGTGACACTAGTTTTGTCCGATCTCGTTGGCTAATCTTCGTGTCGCAATCGTTCTACCGAGTTATTGACTAATGTCACAGTTCTTGCTACAGGCTTCCCACTCGTGGCAAACGGCACGCGCAGCCACCAACGGAAAAATATCGAGTGACCGCGCACCCCCTACACCCACGTTCAAAGCTTGGTAAACTGTTAGTGCAAGGAGAGTTTGCCAAGGACACACTTACAGCACTAACCCTACCCCTAACCACGCTTTCGGCGTGGGAAACCTCTTGGTTTCGGTCAATTTCGATGTCTGCGATCACTCTTTGTTTCTACCGTATGAAGCATGTGCCGGAGTACATTTTTGTCTCCTCGAAAGCAACAACGTCTGTATCGTCCAAAAATACCACAAACAAATGTGAACAGGTTCTGACTACGCGTTGCTCCTGCTGGAGAGCGCTGTCGAGGGCGGAAACGTGCTCACCAAAGCTTCGGTCGACATGCTCTGGGATCTAAACTCCAGGGTCATGCTCGTTGAGGTATGCGTGTAGGACAGTGTACATGATCGAACACACTCGTCCGCAAGGTGATGCGTCGTTCGCGAGATAGCACGAGAGCGGGTTCGGGACCATGCTTCTACCAATGGTAATGATGCCGTCGTACCCTTCTCGCATGCTAGCCGATACGCAGTTTTCACGCCGGCACGCCTAGGCATTCGAGCACTAGGGCACTATCTTTGTCCGCAAAAGTGAAACACTTCGACCATTCTCCTTTAACCAATGGGAACCAGGAGTCGGGTTCTCATATTAATTTCGATTGTTGTTTGGTACTGGTGCCCCTTGCCGTGCTTTTTGGCTCCCCGTTCTCCCTGCGGATGGTGTGGATTCCACCGGCTATTTATCCCTGTTAGACGGAGAGTGGCAACACCTACACCGACCTTTGCACCACGGATGCGGATGGTGTAACGTGCAAGCAGCCGTTTCGTGGGATCACTCGCTTCTGGGGGAACGACTTCGACATCTATGAGGTAAACATTTTGCGCATGATGCTGCACGTGTTGTCGGGCACATCTCTTGTAGGATGTTGGCCTCTACATGTAGTTGTGCTGTCAGAAACGTCGTAGATGTTTGCAGCAACGTAGCGGACGAGTACCGTGGGTTCTTATGTAGGGTATTGGTGATTGATTGCTGTAAACGTTTGTCACCGAGATACAAGCTACACGAGCAATACGGGTGTGTAGTGCAGCGCCCTTCACTGACAGCCCCTTCCTCGTGCCATTGACGCCATTCCAATCGAATATTCCGTGGTGAAACGGCCAGAAAAGCAGTAAAAGGCGCCCGGTCGGTTAAATCGTGTCACCTCTTCCTGTACCAGCCCCGTGTCTCGCTCAGAAGGGGAATTGTCCCGGAATCTTTCGGACACAGGCAGGAATCACAAGAGCCCTTCTGTATCACGCCGTAGAATTCCAAAGCGCACAGTACGTGATTTGTTTTTTTCAAAATCTTCCTGTTGATGGTGTTCCGGAAACCGACCCCGATCGAGGTCCACACCACCAACATCATCAGAAAGAACCTTCGGCACCATTGACAGAAAACCGAGTGTTAGCAGAGGCGACCATAGAAGCGACATCACCACCGAACCTGGCAACAACGGCACTGAAGGTCAAACGGAATCATAGAATAGATACCAGAGACGGCGGAAAACACCGCAATGAAACAGTATCGATAAGCGCCCCCTCCCCTCCCCCCTCCGTCGGTGCCCCTCCCCTCGCCCCCCGCGGAAAGGCTGCTGCCACAAGCGATGCCGATGTTCTGGCCGCCATCAACATGGATACTTATCCGGATGGCCAGGCGGTCTCCCTTGAGGCGGTGTTCGGCAACAGCTTGACGTACGACGCCACCGGGAGCAGCGTAGTGAGCGCCGGCGTCTTCATGCAGGTGAGAGGGTGAGGGTGAGCAGGATGAGGGATGGAGAAAAGGAAAGTATTTGGGCTCAAACGCTATCTGTCGTTTTTGGCGATTGATTGAGAAAGGATATGCTCTTCGAAGACAAGATGCGTCCGAGTGAACCTCGGCTACGGCTACAACCGCCGCCATTCTTTCCAAAGTTTATAGTAGGGTGACTGTCTCGCAGTGCCATGAAACCCCCCTGACCACGGCAGCCAATTTTCCCGGGGTAAAGGTATGCGCCCCAGAGGCCGACGATCATGTCCTGCTTCCTGCCTTATATACATATGTTGTGGGAATTGCAGTCGTACGAGCTCGAGCTAACAGCGAACGACGACGAAGAGTTCTGGGAGGTACGGCAGTGGGAGAGCCTGTTTCACGAGCTCGTCGAAGGCATCATGGAGGAGCAGGAAGACGGTACGTCGGTCTCAACACGAATTTTCACCACATATCATTGTGCTTGCTCTCCGTCCCAACTACGCTGGCGCCAGTTTCCATCGTTATACACCATGCTGTGCATTTAGTTCACAACCGGGCTGTTCCTTGGAAGGGTTCGGCGGGGTTTCACGTTCTCATCGAGGGTAAAGTAGAGGAGAAGGAGCAGCAAGCGCCGAAATCATGTATTCCTATTCTTACTGGTTGTGAGCGCGCATACACCTAACCCTGACCTCGATATTGAGCCGCTTGTTCGATGGAATGATCAACAGAAGGTTAACATTTGTGGTAGCACGGTCAGCACCTGCTCGACTCGACCGGCTACGAATATGCCTCGCTTGCAGACTATCTACTGACGTGGAATGGATGTATCTCTACGGTACAGAATACGTGGGTCTCCTTTCTTGATACCTGATTCATTCTCGCTAGCAGAGGGGCGGTACACGCTTTGTCCCTATGTAAAGCATCCGTTATCTTTCAGGGTGTATTTTCCACCGTACTGCGTGCTACAATGATAAAGTCTGTCAACACTGAAGGGTGCATTAAGTTCAAGTTCACCATATCAAACAGTTTCGCACACCGCAGAGCTCCAGACGGTTTTGCTAAAACCTCCTAGGTGTTGACCACCGCTCTTTGTGGCGCCCTTCTAGCACGTCGCAAGACGTCTTACCAAACCACGTGAAGATCCCTTGTTAGCAAACTCCCGAGTCGTTGACCCTCTTCCGTGCTCAAATTGCTTGCCCGTGGGGGGGGGGGGGGGGGGTCTTCCGGGGGGGGGGACCAACAAGTTGGGGGGAACTTTCACCCGGGAAAATTTCCCGGGGGGGCGAACCAACAACCCCTGGGGGGGAACGTCTCCGGGAAAAAGTTCCTCTTTGGGATCCCATGGAAAAACGAAGCCGACGTTTTGACTTCCCCCCTCAAAAGTAAAACGCTTCCTCCCTATTAAACCACAATTTCTAACTTTTGGGCACCACCCAAAATTTCAAACCCGGGTTGGAAACCAAAAGGATGGGGGGGGGGGCATTTGATGAAACAAACCCTGGGTTTTGGTAAATTTCCGGCGGGCCCAACGCCCGGGGCGAACGTTGAACA